GCCCAAGACATTCCTGGCCCCTGGAGACCACTTGAAAGTTTTATGAGCTTTAGACCAGGTAAAGGCATCCTGGCTGCACGAGCACATTTCCTGGCTGTTTAAGGAAAGATGACATAACTCCTGATGACAGAGGCGTAGTCAGGACAACTTACCCATACTATGTAGCCAAACATGGGGAAAACATATTCCCCGAATCATTTTACATATTTTTATCCCTAAGATTTTGCATCTCCATGAAACCCTCCATCAATAAGGCAGAGAGCCTCTTGCCTCTTATTTCCAAATAAACTGTTTTCCTACCTTCTCTCTAACTGCAAAGCTCTATGAATCCAAGTACTATCCTCACACAGAACACAAGCACACACTCCTCCACCTCTGATGTGTATAAAACATCCCGTCCTTAAACGATAAAACACAACCTTTCAATACAAGGATAAGGACCTTGGAGGATGTGTGCCAAGTCGGGGTCTTGGAAGCAGCTGCCTTCTTCAGACAAATGCTGCAATGATAGGAATTTCCACCAATCAGCTTTTCACGCATCTCCACTTTTCCAAAGCTCGGTTCACGTTCTGAGCTGCTCTGATATGCAGGTAAGGGTCGGAAGTGTTTGACACACCATGGCAGCAGAGATGCTTGATTTGAGATCTCCAGTACCCTCCAAATTTTCGGCAGATTAGGGTGGTGCTCTCAGAGGACCAGGCTGATGGCTTGTGCTCCTGCCAACCTAACTGCTGCATGGCGTATGCAGCGGACATCAGAAACTCACGGCCGCCCTCCTGCTTGTTTCTGGGGAAGCCAGTAACCAGTTCTTGCAGGGGCTGGATGACATGTATCTCCCAGAATGCTGAGGGCTGAGTAATGTGAGCTTGCATAGCACACAGCATGTAGAATGTCTAGTTCTGACAGATTTCCAGTGCTGCTGCCAAGACAGACATAGCTGGTGAGGGGCAGTCTGTTACATCAGACCCTGCAGCACGCTGCTCACGTAGCACGTGTCCCCTCTATTCTGGAGCCCAGTCCCAACCACACAAGGGCTCTTCCAACTCAGAGTAAGTTTCTCCATGGGAGCAGCTGTGCTGCCACCTCAGCCAAGCCATCGTGCAGGCTGCACACGGGTGATGGTGATGGCCTCTCAGGGAGAGGGGGCCCCCAGTGGGCTTCATTGCCACCTGCACTGGACAGAGGTTTGAGTTCCAGGAAGACACTGACCTGAGACTCACCCTCCCAGGGGCAGAAGCGGCTTGCATGTCTCCAGGCACCGAGACCACAAGCCTGGGAATAATGCTTCCCTCCTAGACGGTCTCCAAATGGCAGACTTGGCTGGCTCATCAGGCCACCCAGGTGACCGACCTGATTACACAGGGTGCAACTAACCTCTCACCTGAACTGGATTAAGTCACAGGGTGTGGTCGCTCTTCTTCCCCAGAGAGAGCAACAGTCACCTTTCAGTGCTTTCTATTCACAGAGCCTCTGTTTAATTGTTAGAATCTTGTAGAAATACATTGCAAATGGAAATGATGTGGGATGATGGAGGCACTTTTGTCTTGGCCTCCCAACAGAGAGACAAAGAGGCAAAGAAGAACGCTGGGATATGTGTGTGTGTGCAGGGGAGGGGGTAACGGGAGGATGTAAATGCCAGGNTCCCAACAGAGAGACAAAGAGGCAAAGAAGAACGCTGGGATATGTGTGTGTGTGCAGGGGAGGGGGTAACGGGAGGATGTAAATGCCAGGTAACCACTCATCATGAACCAGTGGCATGTTACAGTTTGCATTGGGTACATCTGCTCAGCTGCCATAACAAAACGCCACACACTGGGTGGCTTAAACCGCAGGTATTTATTTACTCACAGCTCTGGAGGCTGAAAGTCCAAGACGAAGGTGTCATTAGGATGCATTTCTGGTGAGAACTCTGTTCCTGGCTTGCAGAAGGCCACCTTCCTGTCTTCACAGTGCCTTTCCTCTGTGTGCACACGGAAGAGAAAGTGAGTCAGCTCCAGTGTCTCTTCCTGTTAGGATAGTAATCCTACCAGAGCAGGACCCTACAGGTATGGCCCCATTGAGCTCTAAGTTCTTTCTTAGAGGCCCCATCTCCAAATCAGCCACACTAAAGGTTAAAGTGTCAGCATATGAATTGGGTGGGTGAATGGAGGGGCGCATAATTTCCTTCCTAATACATTTGTTAAAAAGATCTGCCATTTAGGCCACTCTCAAAAAGGAAAAACAAACATTTCAGTACTTTCTCACTCTCTGTAATTTCCCTTGCACTCTTTCCTGGCAGATTTTCTTAGTAAATTTCAATTGAAAAGGAAATCATTCGTGAATATTCACACTGTATTCAAATGCCAAGTGAGTGAAGGAGTGTGGGACATTTACTTTTCCATGACGTGGATGGTAATTTTCCAAAGCAAGTTCACATGGCATGTAGCCTGAACTCCTTACTCAAAAGCCACAAATTATGTAGCCAGTAAATTTTTTTTTTTTAAAGATTACTATCCAATGCGTTTGCCTCTAAACCTCCAGCTTTCACTCTGTTTTGACTCATAATGACCAGGAAGGTAGTTAAAAATATTTTTGTCTACCTAGTTGTGGGCCCAGAAACTGTAACAATAGAAATCTGGCAGCTGGTTTCACACTTCTTAGTAAAGACTTCTATTCTTAAGAGCCACTCTAATATGAATACATATGCAAAATCCAGTGTCCTGTGTTGCCAAATTTTAGGTGCTTCCTCTGTGAAATTATGCAGCCACATGGTTTTAAGTTCTCTTGTTTCAGTATGTATCTCTTTTACAGGTTGGCCATTTATACACAGTATTAGGTTGACATTTGGAAATGCAATGGAAGAAGACACCTACATTTAACCTGTGGCCTTAAAGTGTTAATATTTATTGAATAAGATTCACAACAATGTCTGCAGAAATGTTTTTGAAGTTCAGAATTATTTCATATTAGACATAAAATTAGTTCACATTAGAAAATGGGTAATGTTGGCAGCATTATGTAATTTGCAGTGGAAAAAAAACTTATTTCAGAAAATGCATAAAGCTTAGGAAGGAAAGACACCAGGATCTATTTCTCTGCTGTGCCCTCTCCTTTGTCACTGACCTCGCTTCTGGAAGTTTCAGGTGCCTGCTAGATAGATTAAAATGTCATCTGGAGTGGGTGGAAATGTGGCTTGATTTTGGACATCTGGCCTCTGGACTGTAAGAAAACACATTTCTCTTTTGAGCCACGAACTTGGTGGTAATGTGTTATGGCAAACTTAGGAAGTCAATAAGGTGCCCTAACTCCCCTTTACGACATCTTTCAATTTCTAATTGAGTAAATTTAATTGATTTTTAAATTTCAGAATGGTTGAATCAAGCAAAATCAGTTATATTATTGATTTGATCCTAAATTTAGAAGAATCTGAGGTAAGATGCAAGTAGTGTATACACACGAGGCATAAAAGGAAAACCCGCAGTAAAACCGGTAAATCTGAGTCAACAAGTTTTGGTATGCAACATTTTTCTTCTGCATTTACACCTTCACTAACACCTCACCCGGCTGCTACACACATACTATTTGATTTGAATTGGACGGCAGCATTCACAAGCCCCAGCATTACCGCAGGCAGCGCCTCCTAGCGGACGGTTCTGCGCACACCTATGCCCGTCCAGACACCTGGGTTTCCATAGCGGAGGCTGCAGGCAGGAGCCTTGCATTGTGTTCCCTGACCAGCAGGGGGAGCCACAGGCCTGCACGAGCATTTCGCAGGCTTCCAGAGGATAGAAACGCTATTGGTCCTGGACGGGCAGGTCTGCACCGCCTGCCTTGCAGTGCAGCACGAGCATTTCTTGGATGCTTACAGGGGCTCAGGTGGGCCTAGGACTCCATCTGTGTTTGGCAATGTCACTTCTTAGCCCCTGGTCTGAGGTAGAAAATTCTGAGGACACTTGAACTGTTGTAACTCTTTTTCCCACTGTTGCCAGAAAAGCAGGGAGTCCCTGGGCTCCGCAGCGTATTGAGGAAACTGTGCTGGTTCTGGTGGACCGCGGAGGCCCTGGAATTGTCCCGCTTGCTATCTAGAGAGAGTTTCTAGTACAGGTTCAGAGAGGGGAACATCAGGCATAGCCGGTGAACTCCAGGGACCGGGGAGGCGAGCAGAGTCCTAGGAGAGCCGGTGACCAGGCCAGAGCTGCGTGGAGAGTGGACACTCGAGACTCACCACCACGAGCACAGCTCCCTCCGTGCCCCTGTGATCAGCTCAGAGACCTGCCGGCATCCCTTTCCTGTGCAACTTTACGTTCTCCCTAGTGTTTGTTTTTTTCTTTTTTCTAATGCAACCAAGTTTATATGTACTTATTTCTAACTCGATCCTAAACTCTCTGCTCATTGTCTGAATCTCTCCTTCAAAAGTTCTTTCTCATCAGGCACGGC